AAAAATAAACCAATTTCCGGTTACCTTCGTGGCTGGTGTGAGGGGGACGAGAGAGAGAGGGGGATTATTGTGTAGGACGACTTTCACTATCACTAATGGAAGCACTGCTATCTCTTGGCTCAATGGAATCTTTTTCATTTCGTGAAACGAAACAACAAGGAATCTATCCAATGTGACATTGCATTGTCGTTAAACAGACTCGGCCTTTTGGCTAAGATCAAGTGTAGTATCTGTTCTTATCAGTTGTTGGAGGGGAGAACATTCTAGTACCCTCTGACGTAATGGTGGGTGTCGGAGGACGGTTCGGTCCACTGCTAGTTGCGTCAGGCCCTGATGATCGGGTAGACCCTAGACAGCGGGAGGACCCCCGACGGCACTACCTCCTGATGTGAGCAGAGAACCACAGGGCCTGGCCAGAGGGTTCGGGGGCGGCAGAAGCCCGTGGTGTTGTGCCCCCTGGGGGTGGCGTCCCAGGGGTGCTCAGAAAGTCACATGGGTATGGGACCCCACATGACTCACTGTAGCACTTGGTCACACACCACATTGCAATTTTCTGCACTACGCCTCCAAGACAGGCCTTATGGCTAGTCTGGGGCAATATTTTTTGCACTCCGGCCCCTAAGGCCTGTCAGAGTGGTGCACTGGCACTTTAGATTTATTTATGCACTCTATCCACGATTGGCACTTTTTTATTTTCGATTTGACCCACAGATGCTAAAGGTGCAGGTTTCTTCGGGGCCTATTCCTGACGCTGGGAGGAGATTCTGTGCCTCCTACGGGGTTCTCTGTCTCCTCCCACCCAGGAGGAGGGTTTCTCTTCGGGAGATTCCCCCTGCCTAGTACTGTGAGTGTTGCACTTTTTTTGTTCACAGGGGGAAGTTTTGATGCACGTCCACGGGCTTCTAAAAAAAATGTCGTTAAACAGGCTCATTGCTCGCACTGCTACAGCCTTATTCGGTGGTGGTTTTCTACAAAATGTTGCTCTTCTTGCAAGACATTGCTTGTATATCAAGGCAAAAATTTTCAGAAATGTTTGCTTGTCTTGCAAAACACTCTCAAACCAAGTTACTTGTAAACCAAGGTATTACTGTACTTGTATTAGTTATAATTTGTTTATATTAAATAAAAGAAATAAAGCTCATGTTCCTTTCAATT